CAACAAACACGTACTACCAGAGCTACATGTAAGATAGTATAAAATGTGTTGCAAATTCATTTGAAATTAAAGCCACTCTCACTTGAGAGATTTCCACTGCTGTCTGACAATACCAGTAACAATAACATCATCTCCAGCTTTACAAGAATCCACAAGATCCCTCTCTAACACAACCCAGACAGACCTTGGAATCTATACATGTACACAAAGACAAAGAGTAGAGAAAAGAATGGGAGAGAGAGAGAGAAAGCGAGAGAGAAAGAGAGTAAAGTAGAAGAGATAGGAATTGAGGGAGAAAATCACTTACATATCCAATCCCAAGCTTTTGTACATGTTCCTGCATTCTTATCTCTTGATAGTCATGGTAGCTTGAAGACTCTGTAATAAATGTGACTAAGGAATAGACAAATAGAAATCAGTACCCTCTTCAACTGAAGAAAACTTGTAAGAAATACAACCATCAACAGAGCACCTACAAATAAACACATAAAATAACAAGTATTGCTATAAATCATATTTAATGTTCATGCAAATTCTAAATTTCTCACAAAGTGTGCTAAGTGAGGCACATTTTAAGCACAAACAATATCCGGGGCATTTGGAGCAACATTAAAAATTCATAAAAATATATTTTGATCGAAATCAACTCAAATTTTTCAGACAATATATGACCATAAATGACAAAAGGTACCTTATGTGGGATAGGAAAATTGATCTTTATAGCCTTAAAAAGCACTTCAAGAGCTCCATTTATCATGAAATTACCCCAGAGGAAACTGTAAACTGTTAAAAATCCGCCATAAGGTACCTTTTGTCAATTATGGTCACATATAAGAATGTATTATATGCATTAGTAAAAATTCTATATGTACATTCTAAAATACAGGAAATGTTTCCTGTTTTACTATCACTTTTCCTTATAATTGCGTGTGCCACTGCTTAGGTACAGTTTTCATGGATTAGTAAAGTGTACGAATCAAGTTAGCAAATTAATAAGTTAACTACAATGAAGCAGCTAAAAGCAACAAAAACAAAAAACATGCAGTACATGTACATGTATCATTAACTGAAAATGACTATAAATACACATGTACATGTACATGTATCAATTAATGGACAATGTTATGAAGACAAATTGAGGTAATACTGTCCATGCAGTATAGCTAATAGGAGGAGCACATGAAATAAAAACTGAGATCCCTCCCTCCCTCTCTCTTACTCCTCATTATTTCAAGTTTTCTCATTCAATATATTCTCTCATTAACATTATTCTGATACACATGTACATGTACATACATGTATAATGGTACAGTACATGTACATGCATCCATTTCCGTTAGTGCCGGTATGAATCTGTTTCAATTCCATATTAGGACTTACATGTATATGCATCCTTTTCACAGACCATGAGACGGACATGATGGTATTACAATCATCATCAAGAACACATCATTTTATAACTGGAGAGAGAGAGAGAAGGAAACAAAGGTTGAACAAAGCCGGCACAAAATGCCGGAACCACTCATGAAAATAAAATAGTCTAAATTTGAGGGTATAGTCAGTACAGTGTAGTATTAGGAGCTAGTTTCAAAACTCCAGGACAGTCTTATCCTCTAGTCTGGCCACCCAGACTACTTATCCTTACCTACCACTGAGATGATGTGACATCATTTTCTAAACTTTGATGAAATGAATTTGAGAATTTCTATTCTGTGGGTGTGGCCTCAACTAACCACGCCCCGTTGTGTGGTTTGGGTGGGGCTGGTATTTTGCAAGAATGGCATCTAAAAGTGAGGGCCACTATTCTCTTCTCTTTGTATCTCTTTCATTCATTCTTTGTCTCTCTTACTCTCTCACTTACTTTACTCCTCTGTATCCTGTCCTTATTCTAACTCATCACTATATTACTGTTACTCTGTTACTGGTACCTCTTGTTCTCTATAGACTATCAACCAGTGGAGAGAGATAGACACTCCACAGTAAAGGTAGGAAACTACCTATATATGTGGGGTGGGGTCGGGTATGAAGTAGACTATAATGTGATGGAGGTGTATCACTTACCAACTGGTGCTTGGGACCAGAAACCTACTACTGGTACCCCACCACCAGATAACTTCGCCTATTCGACCGTTGCCATAGGAAAGGACATATATTATTTCTGTGGACTTGGTGGTGGTGATTATCAAAACAGCTTACATTGTTTTAATGTGGATTCATTCAAGTGGAAAGAACTCTCTCCTAGTTCTGATTGCGATCCAATGAAGAAGGGCTACTGTGGAATGATATCAGTTCATTTTGACAGTGAACACTATCTCGTAATAATCGGAGGACTGGGATCATCTTCTATACCTAAGCAACCTAACGCT